GGTCACAATCAGCCACCTCCTCCTTAATTGTGTTGCTTGGTATTTACTCAGTTTTATTTCCTAGTTTATTGCCTAAATCAGTTCACTGATTCCCAATCCATCAAATCTCTGTCATCCGCCGTTCCCTTCCTCTCCAAATTGCTCCAGGTTTTGAATAAAAACCTGAAGAATATTTTCAGATTTTGTGAGACATTTGGAGTTTGTCCATATTCCATAGCAAAGCAATTTCCGTTCTACATCAGTAAGTCATACTAGTCAGATAAAATGAGCTGACATTTGTACAAATAAAGTCAATTGACCTCTGAGAAATCATCAATGAATAAGATAAATAGCGAAATTCTATGTGAGTAAATACATTATTAGTATCCCAAATGTCTAAGTGGAATAGCTGAAATGGAAGAGTTTGATGACTAGTGGTAGAAGAAGGTAAGGTCACACAATGGCTTTTATCCAACTCAAAAGAAATATAATCAAACTTGCACAGAAGTGAGGAAATAGAAACAAAATACTGAAGTATGTTGGGTGGAGGATAACCGAATCAACAATTTTTTTGGAATAGAATAATGTGGAAACTCCACTAGTCATTTTTGTTAAAGTTGAAATTTTGAAATTGCAATGAGGGATAAAATTTTACGTAATAGCTATAATACTTTGACTAATCATGTTTGGACATATAAAATATCTTATAGAGATAGAAATTTGGAAGAATGTACAATGCCTTTGTAAAGGCTTAAGAGGGGGAACTATCAATAAATAATAGGTGGGCAGAGAGATAATGTTGGAGACATCAAAATATTTGTCTGTTACCTTTTATGTAAGCATAGGTAATTGAATCTAAAACCCAAGGCATTGATAGTGACAATTGAAACAGACCCAAGTGAAGAAACATCATGAAATACTGAAGAGATGTCTAAGATTATTATAATAGTCAATCACAGTCTTCTTAAGATTGTAATAAATCCAAAGAATCACCAAAAGTCAGTAGAGTTGTATCAATTGCATAAGCATGCTGAGCAATTGAGAGAGCCGAATTTCTCCTAGTAGAATTTAGGAGGATGATCTATGCATCTGCAATGAGTTTAGGGGGAAAATTGCAACCATGATCATCATGGCCACTAGTCCAACCACCATGTCCACAACTCCGTTGACTAATGAGGTTAGGGGGAAGATCATTGAAAGAGAATCCATTTCAAGTTGCACGTAATTTATAAGCTATAGATGAATCTTTAAGAGGGAACAAGTTAGCATTTTTTATTAAATAAAGTTCAAATTCTAAATAAGAAAAGAAGAAAAGTCTAACAAATCCATTCGGGCTCAACGATTACTTTAATTGTAAACAATATTTAAGGATTTTATGAGTAACATATGTGCTTAATATGTTTCAACTTCTAATATTACTTCCTTTCTTTAGCCAAATATCCTTTCCTTATTAAATGGCGCATAATAGAGAAAATTGAAACAAGAAGCCACGATGAGCTTTCCTATAATATTTTTTACATTTCAACCTTCATGACATTATCGAGTTAGCAGATAGTAGGGAGGAGCCGTTCATTAGCTGTTTCATAAGAACTAGAGGAGAGTGAGCATCTATTGCGATATCGATAGGGCAGAGAGGTTGTTCAGTAGCTACTAGGATGGAGTATCCAAGTTGAGATGTCAGTACGGCAGAGTGATTGTAGAGAGGATAAGTACAGGCAATTTACTAGAAAACCATTACCAAATATACATCTCTCTTCTTTCCTTTTCATATGCAGCCTACCCTCCAATCCCTATTATTTCCTAATTTCTTTTTCGTC